GTGAAACCTCTAGTTTGCATGTACAACAGAAGGTGTTTTACAGGCAGCAGAGAGAGAGATTTCTTTGCGAAACTAACAGGACAGGAAAAGGTGAGAAAAGTATGTGCTGTTGGAGTGACAGTATTCTAAATCAGAGGCTCCTGTGTCCTGTGAGTGAAAACCCAAGTGGATGATTCACTTCTGGTGTGGGACGCCAAGACCCGATAGGCAACCTGGCCGAACAGGAGCCGCATGAAGGATGAGACCCTTTGTAAATATCACCAGGAGTTTGGAGAAGGGGACAATAGGGCATCCAGTGGATGCGTGCGTGCGTGCGTTGTTCCAGGTCGGAAGTCCTGGCGGTCGGGCAGTGTGAATGTCTGTGAAGTCAGCTGGAAGGCCTCGCCCAGGATCCCACAGCTTTTACTCTCAGTAAAGTGGTCAAGTCCTCTCTCACCGGTTCTACAGGAAAAAAACAAGATGCAAACCCAAGCTTTATTGGATTTATCTATTTCAATTCGCACATCTAACACAGAAATTAGAAATGCATTCAGTATGTTTTAGTAGATATTGATCAATTAGGAAGGGGGCCGATTAAGGAAAATACCTTGGGGTTTTAGACCCAGCTTTTCATTAGCTACCTGAACGAATCTAAACATGCCGCTTTTATTTTTCTGGGTCTTCATGTGAATTGAAGGGCTAGAACGTTGCAGCTTTGGCAGTTCCAGGCTTCTGTGTTTCATCATGACGCTAATTAGAGCCCGAGTTTCAGCCAGGCAGTTTCTAACCTGCACATTTGACCAAACTGTATGCATAGCTTTAATATATACTCAATAGGAATTCTTAACATACAAACAGTGGGGTGCAGACAAAACCCTATGATGGATCCCACAGTTCTTTAAAAGTATTTTTTATTTTTTTTATGTGTTGGTGGTGGGGCTAAGAACTCTCTTCTTCCCTCTATTTGTCCCAAGATTCGAACTCAGGCATTCAGGCTTGGTGGCAAGCCCCTTTACCCACAGAATCATCTTGACTGCTCCTTGTTTTTTGTTGTTGTTGTTGGTTTTTTTTTAATTCTTCGCTCCCAATACTGTATTCCACGGGAAATAATTAAGATACAGATAGAAATAGCTTTGACATTATCCCAGAAAACTTTCAATATTCCTTCCAGAGACTCAAGGCTTGACTACTGGCATCTAGCAGGGTGGAGTGGCAGCAGCCTGACGGAAGCCATTGACGTGTTTGGACTGGTACATTGTCTCTGGTCTGCTTTCTCCTTGGATGGAGCGATGGCAGAGCCTGTGCCCAGGGTTGTCCCCATGCTCCTCACAGCTCAGTTTGGAAGTCAACTCTGCAAATTTCAGATTTTTTAATTTTTTATTACATTTGAAAATCATAAATATTTTCTTTTGCTTTTCTTATAGCTTATTAACTGCATGTTTGTGTAGTTTAACTCTTTCCCCCATTTTATTGAAAATAGTTTCTTTTATATTATACAATATATCCTGATTACAGTTTCCCATTCCTCGACTGCTCCCACACTTCCATTCCAACTGGATCCACCCCATTTCTGTCTCTCATTAGAAAAGAACAGGCTTCTAAGAGAAAACAACCAAACATTACAAAATAGAATAAAACAACAACAACAAAAATCACCACATAGAGGTTGGACAAGGCAACCCAGCAGAAGAAAAAGAGTCCCAAGAGAATGCATGAGTGTGGTGTAGGAGGTCCTTCTGTTTGTTTGTTGCTTTCATTGGATAATGAATAAAGAAACTGCCTTGGCCTAGTTGATAGGACAGAACGTAGGTAGGTGGAGTAGACAGAACTAAATGCTGGGAAGAAGGGCAGAGTGAGAGAGGCCATGGATCTCCTGCCTGAGACGGACACTGGTTAGAATCTTGCTGGTAAGCCACAGTCATGTGACAATACACAGATTAATAGAAATGGGTTAAATTAAGATATAAGAATTAGCCAATAAGAAGTTAGAACTCATGGGCCAGGCAGTGTTTAAATAAATACAGTTTCTATGTGATTATTTCAGGTGTAAGCTAGCCGGGAGGCTGGGATGGAACAAAAGGGCCCGCTCTCCATGAAAAATGAGTGTCAGAGACCTGCTCACTCACCTGCTCATGAATATAGTATATATACAAAGGTGTGGCCTCTGAGTGGCCCTGTGCTTGCTGCTTCAGTCTCTGTGAGCTCATTTGAGCTTTCTCAATTGATGTAGACGGCCTTGTTCTTCTTGTGTTCTCCATCCCTCTGGCTACTCCTTTTCTGCCTCCCCTTTCCCAGGGTTACTTGAGCTCTGAAGGGATTTATGGATGGAGACATCCCACTTAGGGCTGTGTGTTTCAAGGCCCTCCTCTTCATAATGTTTAGCTGTGAGTTTCTGCCCCCCCCCCCAAATCTGCTGCAAGCAGAAGCTTCTCTGATGATAGATGATCCAGACACTGATCTACGAGTATAGCAAAATGTCATTAGGAGTCACTTTACTACTACTGAATAATCCAATTAAAATGGGGTGCAGATTTAAACAGAGAATTCTCAGTAGAGAAAACTCAAATGTCTGAGAAACACTTAAAGAAATGTTTAAGATCCTGAGGCAGCAGGGAAATGCCAATCCAAACTACTTTGAGGTCTGTCTTAAACCTGTCAGGATGGCTCAGATCAGAAGCACAAGGGACAGCTCATGTTGCTGAGGAAGTGGAATAAGAGGAGCACACACCCATTGATGCTGAGAGAGAAAAATACTTTTTAAAATTAATAAAAAGCATAGAATGGTGCCAGTATTAGCTAAGGAGACATGGTGCTGTTTCCTACCACTGAGAATAATACCCGTTTCCTACAAACTGGAGGGAATAAGGTTGGAAACGAAAAAAATTGAGGGCAAATAACTCACTATGGGCTTTTTTTTTTTTTTTTTTTTTGAGTCAATGGTTCACTGTGTATCCCTGGCTGTTCTGGAACCCACTCTGTAGACCAGGCTGACCTTGAACTCACAGAGATCCTCCTGCCTCTGCCTCCCTAGTGCTAGGAGTAAAGGTATACACCACTTTACCTGGCTAGACTTTTTTGTTTTTTATTTGAGACAGACTCTTATGATTCTTAGACTGACCGCAGGAGAAGATGACCTTGAACTGCTCATCTGGCCTCCACTTCCACCTGCATTTCGTGCCTGTCTTAAGCCAGGGTTGTGTGCATGCTATGCAAGCAGAATTCTACCAATTGAGCTACATCTCCAAGCATCCAAGCACATTCTTGGATAAACATTCAAATGCATATTTGTGTGTGTGTGTATGTGTGTGTGTGTGTGTGTGAGAGAGAGAGAGAGAGAGAGAGAGAGAGAGAGAGAGAGAGAGAGAGAGAATGTCTTTGCTTAAATGTTTTATGGAAATAAAGGCTATTACAGAAGCAGTAAAGCACTTTCTGATTGTAAGGAAATCATCCCACAGTGGGAAAATACATGGAGAGATGCTTCCTGTATGAGACTGGGGAACTGAGATCCCATGGAGAACATAGGTAGAGTCCTAGCCCAATACAGATGATGTGAGATTGATTTGAAGCTGGAAGTTTGGAAAAGAACTCAAAGAGATGACTTTTCATCTGGACCAAGATAACTGGGTACCACTCTGAGGTGCACAGATGAGGGTAAAGGGAGCACAAGGTCAAGGAACTGCGTGAACAAGATGCAGAGTGTCTTGAAAGGACCAGTCACCCATCCAGCATTTCCAAATAACAATAGATATTTTTTTGGAGTGACTATTGTGAATTAGTATCACTTCCCATGGGTCATCTGATTGAACTTTTTGACTGAAGTCTGAAAGGAAATACCAGCATTAAACTTGCTATACAGATGAAGGAAACAGAGTCACAGATCATAAAGATGCTCACTCAAGACCCCACAGCTCGAATGTGAAGCATTGGAGTCTGTACTCACAACCGCTATAGGCTAATGAAGACAGGGAAAGTAGAAATCCAAGTGGGACGGCACCAAAGAGCAGAGGGCCTCCTCTGCCACCCACCATCAAAGAAGGAAGAGGAATTTTCTTATGTGAACTTGAAGGGGGAAATGCTTCCCAGTTATTAAGGTTATTTTGTGTGTTTAGTGCTGGACTATTCAGTGTGGTGGCCTCAACCACATGTGGGCATGGGCATTAGAAATATGGCTAGTTATGAAGTGATTTTCTCTGTGTATAAGATGTATGCCAGGTTTTAAAGATTTCACGACAAATGAATGGAAACTCACTCATGTGTCTTGATGCACATGTTACTTCAGATACGCTGGTTGAAATACAACATTTATAAAACTATTCATGCATTTTTTCTTTTATTAATGGAGAACAATTCTATCTTACCTATAGATAATAAAATGTTGCCTTCATTTTATTTGCTCTGGGCAGTTGGACCTTGGGTGATTTAAAACTTGTGGTAGGTGTTTTACTAATGAACTCTGATGAAGGGCTTCCTAGCCACAGTGGTTTTTTAACTGTATGCTTTCCTTGCTTTCTGGTCATTTGCAAGAAAACTTTAAAGAAGGCTTCCCCTTTGCAGGGGTTTGAGAAGCCCAAGAGTTTCCCTTTTCAGCTGTTCCCAACCACAAACAAACGCTCAATATGCCGTGCTCTGTGGACAAGGAATTCACATCGCCAGGGCCGAAAGGGGAGACGTCAAAACAATTTCCAGTCCCGAACGGGGTGCAGTTCAAAGGATCCCACAAGAATGGCACAGGTGGGCACAGCGGGTCGGGCTCATCGTCAGAGAGCCCAAGGAGTCGAAAGGAAACTCTAGCTACAACCCTGACATGCCACAAAACCAGAGTTATAATGCAAAGTAATTTAGCTTCCCCGCCTATCTGTCACCATCTCATCTTAAAAAAACGTGTGAAAATACGTAATCCTGAGGAGCCTTCGATTAGGTATAAATACCGGCAGAAAGGGAGGTGCAGAGTACAGCTCCCATCAGCCCATCAGCTACTAGAGAAGACAAGCCAGCCGAGTCCTCTGGACCCATTGGCTTGATACGGGTGCTCCAGACTCTCACGGCCTTGGCCTTGCTCGGAGACGATGACTGCAACACGCTGCATCTTGGCTTTGTTGCTCTGCCTCACGCAGGCCATTTCTGACGGCGAGGGCACACCCATTAAAGAAATAGAGACTCTGAAGAAATATTTTGTAAGTATGAATTTGTATCATGCTTGTATCGAAAATGACTGGCGTTGACTTGCCACTGTCAACACTACAGTGGCGCCTCTGGTCCACAGTCATTTTGAGAAGACGGGTGTTATGTTGCTATTTGCCGGTGAGGAGCCTTTTGACTTAATGATCTTGATATTGATTTGACTTCATTCAGTTTGCTATAGAGACTGACAGGGCATTTACAATCTTCCCAAAGATGGGCAGAGTATGAGTATGAGATACTCATCATTTTGTGGTTATTAATTTGTTAACATTTACTCACGATAAGGAGCATTCTTATGCTCATGGTTGGCTATTCATTTCTCATTCCTCAGACTACTGTGAAAGCGATAGTGAGAGACGTGTGTGAGAGAGAGATGAATATTGCCACTAAAAACACTCAGGGAAACATCCCACCGCTTAAAAGGAACAGAAGGCGAAGTTCTTAAAAGTTTCTGCTTAAGAACGACCCCTTGCATACACTTTTCCCTAAAGAGTGAGTTTTGAAATTCTGCGAGTGAACTATCACTGAAACCAGCCGTTTACTGAGGCCTGAGAGGAGTTATGTTTCTTAGAGTTTTACATTTTTTTCTTTTGTGGATTTCCTTTCAAGTTAACTAAGGATAATGAACATATATTTTTTTACTCTTACAATTTTATAATTTGTCTAGAATGTATGCTATTACACATATAGCTGTCATCATCATATTCAAGCCTTCACAGTCAATTTTATCCTCACGGTGCAAATCAAAGTGTCTCACACACGTGTGTGGAGCTACCTTTTAAAGCAGCTGCTCAGACCTACGAGTGCAGACTGATGTCACAGAAAGTGTGCCATAAGGGGGCAGTGTGCGCAGTGGGGTTAATTTGATGATGTTTTCTATCTCTCTTAACTTGAGAGCAACTTTCTTTAGCGCACTCCAGCTATTTGGGGTACTTGAAATCTCATCAGCATTTTTGAGTTTATTTGTGGCCTTACGATTCAAGATTAGACTAGTAAATGCTAAAGCTGCAAGAATGAAAGAGTCCTTGGCTAAATCTAACATGAAGCCTTTTGGGGATGCTTGTTAGAAGTAAATGGAGGCGCTGAGCAGGAAATCAGCAGTTCTTGCCAGCAATGAATTGAATAAAACTCAATAGATATTTTTGGGGCAATTGGTGAACTAATTAATTACAAATTAAATTTCTTCTTTTCCACAGAACTCCACTAGCTCTGATGTCGGTGAAGGAGGGGATCTCCTCTTTGAGATCTTGAAGAACTGGCAAGAGGTAAAACTGCTGTCCCCTTTGCTCATTCTCCCTGTCGTTTCTCTTGGACGGGCTCCCATCAGACTCTCTCTGTGCTCTTGTCTCCCAAGGATGGTGACACAAAACTCATCGAGAGCCAGATTATCGCCTTCTACTTCAAACTCTTTGAAGCCTTGAAGGACCACGAGGCCATCCAGGACAGCATGAACACCATCAAGGCAGATCTGATCTCTAACTTCTTCAACAACAGCGAGGCAAAAGTGAATGACTTCGAGAAGATCGCTAAGATTCCGGTGAGGCAATTTGTACAATGGAGTTTTGTGCTGTACTGAATGATCAGATGGTAGAAATTGGCTATTGAACAGTTGATAAAGCAGGGAGAGGAGGCTCTGTCTGAGATGTTTCCTCACTACGGGCATGCTGGGAGGGACTTTGTCAACTTTGGAAAAACACAGACATTCAAACCATTGCCCACAGGATGGGTAAATGGCGTGAGGAGGAAGCAGCCGAGGGAAGCAGTGAGCAGAGCCCCTGTGGTCCCCCTGGGTGTGTGATGGAAACTCTCGCTTAGGATGGGAGGCTGTGTGTTAGTGGAAAGAGCAGTGGGAGGGAGCGAGAAAGCTGCGCGCTCTCCTCCTCCCAGCCAGGCCACAAGGAACTGTGAGTCCGGATGACTCACCTGCCCGGCTGCACTGCCGCTGCAGTTTCCTCGTCTTGATAGGAACCAGCTGGGATCACTACAGAAGCTTAGTCAGAACCAAACCAGACCTGCACAGTGTCATAGGTAGAAAACGAGGATGAGAGAGGAGAAAGTAGTGTCCTACCCCTGGTCTCTGGTTAGCCTCTCATGCTATACGGTCCAGTTTGTTTTTAGGGGAAGGAATGGTAGACACCCTTTGTTAGGATTACTTTGATGTCTTATGAAAGTCGTGTTCAATTAACTTTCAGATACGGGGGTGCTTCACCTATCCCATACTTTCTCTCGTGAAGCCACCCTAAGCCTTTATGGCTTCCAGAATCAGAAAGATAACCTGAAAGCATAAAGACAAATCTAAAATTTTTAAATTTTATCCCAAAAGCAAAGGCATTCTAAATGGCAAATGGGCTCAGATGAAAGGGACAGGCGTCTTGCTGTGTTTTGTGGCCTTATATTTTGTGCCCAGCTTTCGGTCTACCTGAGTCGGGATCACATCTCAATCATCAACTAGAGATGGATAAAGTCATTGTTCTTAAGTCACTTCCATGCCGGTTTTGCTGTTCAGCTATGGCTAAGACTCTAGGATTCTTGGCAATGTATTTGAGAACTGGGAAATGAATTTGTCTTCACAGCACAGCTGGTAGAAACTTGTTATTCCTAAGGCCTTGGAGTAACTCTCTGGAAACCCTGGTGTTGTGCTTCTTATGGGTGATCTTGAACAAGCTTGCAACTCTTGTCCTGTTTTGTTGCACCGTCAATGCATTTTAGGAACACACACATACACACAGCTCTGAATCCTTCGTGGAAGAATAGCAAGGAAGTCAGAGTATTTCCAGCATTAGAAAAGCATACAAACAGGGTTCATTTTTATTAAGCACGAAGTTGCCCAAGTGGCCATCCTGCTATGAACGGAGAAGTTGTTTAAGTAGTTAAACGAATGGTATAGAAGGCAGAGAACAGGAAATACTACCACACCTCCAATAACAAGTGTTCATTGTCAGCAAATCGATTAGTACCAATATGAATAGAATTGGTGTTTATTTTTAATCCCACCCTAGACATGATGACACTGGTTTGATTTGGGAGAAATCTAAAATGATACTTTTCATTTATTTTGGACTTGGGATTTTTTCCCCCCTAGTATTCCATTTGTGTTGATAACTCTCAAACTATGAGTGGTATCTGAATCTCTTGAAGGAACTTAGCTCCCAAAGGCATGGGCCTTCTCCTTCATGCACCTGGGTCTCTGGGATCCTTGGTAGATCCCCAAAGCATTCTACTATACCAAGGGGAGCACTGACCATAGGAATTTTTTTTGTAGTCTAGAAAGGACTGAACAAGCCTAAGGTAGTAGATCTTGTAGATAAGAAGGTCACTCCCCAATCACTTCACCAGAAAGCACCTTTCAGCAGATTCAGTGTCTGTTCAGGTTTAGGGTCACTGCAAGCTCACTCCCGCCCTGATTCCAGCCAGGAATCCTTTTAGTGTTCCATTTTGAGATTTCTGTAGTGGTCACATTAGTGATAGGTACGTGATATAACCCACCCATTCCCTCTTGTACAACCTAATGACCCCTGTAATCTTAACTGCTGAAGAAGTGATTACTACAAGTGACAGGATTACATTGTTAGACAAGGTTGCTTTTCTTAAAAGGAATATTTCCATTTTCACTAATCATGGTGTTAAAAGAAGAATATCCCAGTAGCTTGCATGCTTGGAGTTAATTCCATCTTTTCCACCGACAGGTAGATGACCCGCAGGTCCAACGCAAAGCTGTCAATGAACTCATGAAAGTGATGCACCGACTGTCGCCGAAATCGAGCCTGAGGAAGCGGAAAAGGAGCCGCTGCTGTTTCGGGGTTGGAAATCGGCCCAATAAGAACAATCCTGCCAGCGCTGTTTGAATTATAAATCTAAACCTATTTATTAATATTTAAAGTTATTTATATGGAAAGTATATTTTTAAGACTTATCAACTAGAAAAGTATTTATGATAGCAACTTTTATGTGATGAAAATGGATTTCTATTGATTAATATATAAGTTATTTATAATTTCTCTATCCTCAACTCTCTCACTTGACCATTTGTTCTCCCTGAATAATTAACAAAGACTGTGTGATTGAAAGGTTGTATCCCAGGGGCCAGTTAGCCAGTTGACTGAAGCTGGACTGTAGGTGGTACACTTATGTACAGTTGAAATGACGCCGTGAGGTGCTGCGGACTGAGAGCTTGTCTACACTCTGAGCCCGTCCTTCACAGCAGACAGACAGCGCTTCAACATGTCAGGAAGTGCAAACTGTCCCCTGAGGAAAGCCATTTCTCCCACCTGGTGCTTCTGAATACCGCTAAAAACTGTGACTGCACCCAAGTGTCAAATAATTCACTTGTTTGTAGTTCTTCACTCTCTAATATGTAGAAATAAAGTGTCCTTGCATAACTAGCCATGCTGTGTCAGACTTCTTCTGTGAGGCTGCTCGGATGAATGGGAGGGAAATCAGCCATTTTTAGCCGTGGGAATCTTGGAGCTGCATTAAGTCCCATTGAGTGTGGTGCTTTTCTCTACTGACAACTGGCTTTTTTTTTTTCTGCTCTGGTTGGCAGCTATTTAAATTTTCTTTCAAAGGGATATGTCTAATTACATCACCATTCAACATACAACTCTTGCAGTGGGAAGGATCCAAATTGCTGAGCCTGGCATTTGAGTTTGCTTCTGTTCTGTCTTCCACACTAGGGTTCCCGCCTACATTTGTGCTGGCAAACATCATGAGTATATGTCTTAGAGTTCCTATTGCTATGAGAAAATACTATGACCAAAAGCAACCTGGGAAGGAAGGGGCTTATTTCACCCCTTAGATTATAGTTCATCACTGAGGGAAGCCAGGGCGGAACTCAAGGCAGGAACCTGGAGGCAGGGACTGTATTGGACGCCCTGCAGGAACACAGCTCGCTGGCTTCCTTCTCATGGCTTGCTCAGCCTGTTTTATTATACAACTCAGGACCATTGGTCCAGGAGAAGCACTGGCCCACACTGTAGGCTGTGTGCTGGGCACACCTATACCAATCATTTAGAAAATGCCCTACAGACTTGCTCACAGGCAATGTGATGGAGGAAATTTCTCTGAGGTTCCTCTTCCCAGATAACTCTAGCTTGTGCAAAGTGGGCAAGCTAATAGGCACAGTGTGGCAGAGTTTAGTTCTAGGGAGAAAATTCTGGACTGGAACTAAGATTGAACCACTGTAAGCAGTGTGACATTTAATAACTACTTTAATGTTCTCTAATCTTTCATTAATTTATTGGAAAAAGGAACAGGTCAATGTGAGTCTTCCTCACAGCATTGTGTGAATTCCTTCTTTCACACAGTTGTAACTTTTTTATGGTACCTGATTAGTGTCTAGGTAGTGAGATACTTAAGTCCATTAAAAACACCCAGAGATCCCCACACTTGGAGAACTTGAACAACTAGGAAATAGACAATGAATAAAATACATTATATTCACTCAAGCCGAATGGTTGTTTTGAAAATTCTTGTTGCTATGGGAAAATAGAACAGAGCAAGATGAAGGAAATGGTCTCTCCGTGGGATGAAGTGAGCAGTACGGAGGTTTCAATAGAGTAATTGCAGTCTCCAAATCAAAGAAAAACCACGCGAGGAGGAATTTGCAAGGGTGATGCGCACTTAGATTCCAGGAAAGGCAACTATCCTTGCAAAGGCTTTGGAGTGAAGATTATTCTGGCCTGAAAGAAGAAACTGCAGACCTTCAGGGCAGTCCCAAAAGATGGAGGAGGGGACAGCAATCGTCACAGGAGGAGGTGAAGTGTGGCCAGTCTGTGTGCCTTTCAAGTACCAGGAAGCTCATGATGTAACGACTTACATGTGCTCTGAGTTGTGAGTTCCAGAAAACCCTGTGACCTGGCACAAGATGGTCTTATAACATGCATAGGAATGTGTTATGTGTAATGGTGTAAGCGAATGGAGACAGATTGTCAAAATATAGACAGCTTTAATGGAGGAATAGACTTACAGAACCACCGTTCCCGTGGAGACCAGGAAAGCAGAAGCGAGTGCTGGGAGCACACTCGCCAAATTTATGGGCAAACTTTAGCCTGAGGCGAACACGCCCCCTAAGGGGTAGGACTTATCCCTACATCTCCCCCTTTTGTCTAAAAAGACAGAACTAAACCAAATACAACTATATACAATAATAACAAATAAATATAACAAACAATATTGAGAATCAAAAATTTTGCTAAACATTCTATCTCAAGGAGTCTAAATAATGTAGAGAGTAACTACAATTATATAATCTTCAACTCCATCAAAGATCCAAGAAGGGAATAAATATTACTTAACAAACGAGATATATCCAAAATGTGTAACAATTGACAGAGACAACTGACTACCTGGGCAATCACCCAAAGTCTCGTTTGCAATGTAGAATCAACCAACTTTGGCTAAGGCCTAACATAACTGACATACCATTATTAAAGGCAAGGAACTTTTCAAAACTATCTTACCCTGTCTTAGCAGGATATGACAGTCCTGTTGTATCCATTGATGCAAGCTCTGTATCTATGTCAGTGGTTGAGGTATGGGCTTTTCTTAACCCAAAGGCCAGTTCTGCCAAGAAGACAAGCTCCCAGTGGAGTGTCTTTGGTACTCAACGTTCTCTCGGGAATAGAGCAGTGTTGCCAGGAGCAATTGTGTCTCACTATCACGAAACTCTGAGTTATATTAAAGGCCATATTCTACAGCTATTCAAAGAGGTTGAAGCTTATCTATCTATACTGAGTATAATCTCTATATATCTAAAGAACCTGATTAGTCTAATTATAAATGACAAACTTAGATGACTATTAATCTATATAATTCTCAATATCTATCTAACTTAAAGACTAAGATAATAAACAACTGTGTAACAAATGAGGATAATGACCTCCAAATATAAACACTGTACAAATATACATTGCAACATGGTAAATATATATCAATACACAAACATTATATAAGTATCTTAATCAGAGGTAGAAATGTATACTGCAAAATGGTAAATATATACAATATATATCAATACAATATATGTCAATACATAAAAATGTTTTAAACAGAGGTAGAAACATGCATGCATACAGTAGTCAATATAATTTAACTTTGTATCAATATACAAGAAACGATACCAATATATTTGTCTAAAAACAGTAACTCACAATTATAAATCTATTATCCTATCGTCCCTCTTTTTTTTTTCCAAAATGAGCCCTGAGCTTATAAAATCCCTCCCCCAAACTCCCAACCCCTAAATGATGTCCCTAAACCTAGGGGCAAACTTTACTGGGAGAGGAAACGTCGTCCTCTAGAATTACTTCCAGCTGTCATGGGGGCAACATTCTTTCTGGGGGATCCTGTGAAAGTAAAATGATGGTTAAATTTCAAGATCAATGTCTTTTAAAATTGCAAATAGTCTCTGAGTATTTTGTGGAGGTCTGGCCAGAATGTTGTACAAGATGTGCACCATTTCAGCTAACCAAGTTGGGATCGTCTTGTGCAGCTGGTACCCAAAACAGGTCTTGTAGTAGCGCTATCAGTATCATGACGTCATATCAACCAGGTAGAGTTGTTGTGTGGGGCCCCATCTTCTTCCTGGAAACTTCTAATGTCACTTCAAGAAAAACTCCTTGTTCATTGTAAAAATCTTAAACATTAATCATATAGACATACATAGATATAAATATTCAATGAAAGGCATGATAGATATATTCAATGAAAAGTATGATAGATATGAAGAAAAGCAAAGATGTTTTCTAAAGCATATTTCTTTCTGTCCCATATCATGGCTCTTGACATGAGACAGAAACTCCAGAAACTCTGGGTTTTTCTCTTACTAACAGGCTTGGAATTGGAGAGGGACTGAGCCAGAGTACAACTTCAAAACCAGCTTTACATATTTATAAAGAAATGTTTAATAAGACATATATGTAAAAAATTAATACTTACAAAATGTGTCCATCCATCAGTAATTAAAGATTCAGGGTCCCTTAATTTCTTTTAAGATGAGTATTTTCCTGTGGAGATAAGAACCATGCCCCCAACCTATCTCTATTCCTTACCATCAGTATGCTCGCCGTCCTTGTGAATGAATTGTTATTTATCTTTTCCAAGTGGCTTCTCTTCTTCAAACCGAACCTTTATTAATGTTGACGGTATCCACAATTTTTCCTCACCTGTGGAGATAAGAGCAAAACCCCTTCCCCAAAGCAGCACATCTCCTGGCTTCCATTGTGACGTCACCACATCCTTGAAATAAACTGGTTGATTTAGTTCAGTAGACTTTTCCATTATCCAATCTCTTTCTGCAGCCGTTGTTCCCTTCTCATTAGCGTTGAGAAAATTCAAGGTTAACAAAGCATTATATAACCTATTTCTGGGGGTGTTTTCCTCCCCTTTCTGTTTGTTCAACATATCCTTTATAGTTCGATTTGATCTTTCTATGACTGCTTGACCTGTAGGATTGTATGGTATACCTGTAACATGCTTGATATTGTAATAATCAAAAAACCGTTTCATTTTCCTAGAGACATAAGCAGGACCATTATCTGTCTTTATTTGTGTAGGTATACCCATGATAGCCATGACTTCTAATAAATGAGTGATTACTGAATCAGCTTTTTCTGAACTTAAAGCAGTTGCCCACTGAAAGCCTGAATAAGTGTCAATGGTGTGGTGAACATACTTCAATTTGCCAAATTCTGCAAAGTGGAACACATCCATCTGCCAGATTTCATTCCTATGGGTGCCCTTTGGATTAGCCCCTGCTGGCAGTGGCGTTTGGTTATAGAAAGAGCAAGTAGGGCATTTCTTTACAATCTCCTTAGCCTGTTGCCATGTAATAGAAAACTCTTTCTTCAAACCCTTGCTATTAACATGATGTTTTTTATGAAATTCAGAGGCTTGTAGCACACTACCAATCAATAACTGATCAATGTCTGCATTACCTTGTGCTAGAGGACCTGGCAGACCCGTATGGGATCGGATGTGTGTTATGTACATAGGGCAGAGCCTGTTCCTGATCAAATCTTGAACCTGGATAAACAATGAGGTTAGTTCTGTATCATCAGGTATAAATTCAGCAGTTTCAATATGTAAAATAACTCTTTCTGCGTATTGCGAATCAGTAACTATATTAATAGGTTCTCTAAAATCCCTTAGCACCATAAGAATGGCATATAATTCTGCCTTCTGGACAGAATCATAAGGACTTTGTTCCACCTTACCCAAGTCTTCCGATTTGTAACCTGCCTTCCCTGTTTTATTGGCATCAGTATAGAATGTACGGGCTCCAGT